AAAAGAAAAACTGATGTTTCTGGAAGAAAAACCTGCAAGGACAGCTTTTAAATTAAAATTCTCGGCTGTTCAGTATAGAAGAATGAAGTAGAAGGCTCCCTCCTTACTCTCAGCTCACGGCCTTCCATCTTATTTACTGAGAAAATTGAAGTCATCAGAAGTGAAATCCCACGTGAGCCCACCACCAACTGCCCCCCGCCTCCCCCACCTCCCTACCCTCCACACTGCATTCCCTTGTGTGGGACCTTCCCACAATGCTGTAAGGCCGCGTCCTCCCCTGTGTCCTGGAATCCCGTCAGCTCTCACAGTTTCAAAGACGCTCCCCTGCAACCGTCAATCCCCCCTCCCAGCCGGGTAGTAAGTACCGCCTGCACGGAGACAGACATTCGGGAACCGTGGCCCACCTTTAACAGTCTCTCTTGACCCCACAGCCACCGCCAGCTGCCTATCTGTTTCCCTGGTCCATTCTGTAGTTAAAGGCACATGAAACGAGTCTAAGCTTGCTGTCTCTGCTTTCTCTGCTCCTAGTCTTTCCAGATCCCTTTCCAATCAGGCCTCACCTACTCCCCCCAAAACCCTCCTCCTCCAGGTCATCGGAGACTTCCATGTTGTCAAACCCAGTGGCCCACGCTCCACCTCTCTGGCTCCGCCTGTCAGCAGCGTCTGACATTGCTCTCATCTCCTTGGCCACTCCTTCTCTGTCTCTTCCAGAATCCCCTCACTTCTCCCTATCCAAAAGTGTGGGATGTTCCAGAGCACTCTGAGTCTCTCGCCTACTCTAGCTAGCCACACATTCCTAACTGAGCTCATCCACTCCCACAGCTTTAAAATATCCACTAGGAGATCAAAAAATATCCAGAATCAACCATTTCTCTCTGCCCTCACTGCTACCACCCTGGTCCAAGCTCTCATTATCTCTCACCTAAACTATTGAAATATCCTACCAGTCTGTTCTCTTTTAAATTGGTCTTTTTTTATGTTTATTTATTTTTGAGAGAGAGAACAAGGGCACAAGTGGGGGAGGGGCAGAGAGACAGGGATAGAGAGGATCCCTAGCGGGCCCTGCCCTGACAGCAGAGAGCCCGACGTGGGGCTCAAACTCATGAACCTGGAGATCATGACCTGCGCCGAGGTCAGATGCTTAACTGAGCCACCCAGGCACCTCCTAAACTGGTCCTTTTAAAAGGCAAGTCAGATAGTGTTGCCTTTCTACTCAGAATCTCGAGTTGTCTCATGTCACAAACGCTAAAATAGAAATCTGTACCTAGACATGCAAAGCCCTGCACGACCTGCCTTGGCTTCTTCTAGGACCTCATTTCCTACCAATTTCTTTCTTACTATTGGGCTCCAGCTACTCTGGCTTCCTTGGAGGTCTTTATTCATTTTTTTAATGTTTATTTATTTATTTATTTACAAAGAAAGCATGAGCAGGGGAGGGGCAGGGAGAGAGAGAATCCCAAGCAGGCTCCACACTGTCAGCACAGGGTCCGACATAGGACTCAATCCCACGAACCATGAGATCATGACCTGAGCTGAAATCAAGAGTTGGACACTCAACCAACTGAGCCACTGAGCCGCCCCTCCTTGGAGGTCTTAAAATCTGCCAAGCTGCTCCCACCTCAGGACCTTTGCACTTGCCATTTTCCCTTCCTAGAAATGCTCTTCCCCTATATCTGCATTTCTTCCTTCCTGATTTCATTCATGTGTCTGTTTACCAAAGAGATCTTCCCAAACCCCTTATCTAAAGTCATCCACACATCCTCACTCCATCCCATCCCACCATCTATCATTGGACCCTGCATTATTTTTTTCTTGATAGCACTTATCACTACCTGGCATGTTATATATTCACTTCTGTCCTTATTTATTGTCTGCCTCCTTCATCTAAAATATATGCTCCATGTTTCCTAGCATCTAGAGTAGCACTTGGCATACAGTAGGCTTCCAGTAGCATTTTTTTGAATTAGTTAATGGATAGATGAACAAAGGTATATTCTCTGTCCCACAGAAGGAGGTGAGGGTGGGGTCTTGTCTGTCCTAAAAAACTGACACATATCGGGCACGTGCCAGTATTCTGGAAAATTCTACATATTCTCCCCTGGCCAAGTGTAGAATTAGTTCTCATGGTTTACCATTAACCTTGTTCTTTGGTTCATGTGAGAGTTTCTTGTAGACCTTTAAAAAAAATATGAACATCTGGCTTTACCCCAAGGAGCTCCTGATTTGGGAGGTCAGTGTTGGGATTCTGAAAAGCAGACTCTGGACAGTGTTAGAAACTCCTTATAACAATGCCCAGCAGGTAATAAGCATGAACTATTATTACCTGCACTAAGTTTCTTGGGTAGTTCTGGTACACAACCAGGTTTGAAAATTGCTGATACGGACTGTAGACACCATTAAATAAATGAGAGACAGGAGATCTTCACGAGGAGCAGGGCAAGCCAGAGGTCAAGGAGAAACTAGAAGGCACACAGCTGGCTGGTTTTGGAAGAGTGAACAGCACTGAGTGAACCGCAAGACAGTCACTGTGGTCTCCTAATGGCACCCAGGTACCCTGCGACTGGTCTGGGGGAATCGGCACCTTCTCAATTACATTCTAGTTGGTTATTCTCACCCAGCTAACCAGTTCAAAGGCAGATGAACTCTCTTCTCCAACCAAAGCCGGTGACAGAAAGATCCATGTGCTGTACTCGGAGCTGCTAGGGCCTAGGGAATGTCAGGGGTCCTAACCAGGACCAGCTGCAATGGAGAGGATGAGTCAGTGGCAACAGCCCATCCTCCAAGATTCCAGAAGGCTCTCATGCTCCTCACAAAAACCTTCCCAACCTGCCTCCTGATGTCAGAAGTCCTTTTAGAAAGGGACACACTTTCTTGTCATGGCAAAAGATGCCTAAAATGCAGACACCTCCAGAAGAATCACAGATGTAAACTGACAACATTCTTGATCAGAAACCTCAGTCACTCTGCAAAGGAGGTTTGGATAGGAGAAGGGTGCTTATCATGGTCTCGGCCCCACTCCACCCAAACTCCTGTGTTTCCCACCTCTAGCAAGATCACCACGGCTGGGAGATGTAATCCACCCGAAGAGCAATAGAAAGTGCATGGTGAGCATTTACATTTTTCTAAGTCACTTCTTTCTTGGGACATGGTTGCATTCAGCTCAAGCAGAATTGGCAGGGTTGGTTCAGCCTTTCACCCTGCCTATGACCCAAACCAAGGTTTCACCTGCCAGTGGCCAGTGTGAGGTGTGGATATAATTCACTGGCTCCTTCAACAATTTTTATTGGGCCCCTGCCATGGACCAGGATGTGGTGAGGCCGTGGTCTTGACTGGAGTTCAGGAACTGACCTCTTTCTCTGTATATCTTCTTGGAAGGTCACCCTTTGCTTTCCTCAAACTATTTTCCAAGGTCATCTTTTGGAAACTACCTCCCAGATCCAGATTCAGGATCACATAGGAAAATCTGTTATATTTTACCTAAAGCTGATGGAAATGTTACCATTTCTTTCTGCTTCCCATACCCCTCCACTCCCACGTCCCCCCTCCCACAGCTCTACCCCTTCCAGCTCCTTCTACAAATGCCTGCAGTTCCTAGAGGGCCCTCAGGGGTCTGGCCTATCTCTCCTTGCCCCTTGGCCTGGGGGTCGGCATCCCAAGCTCCTTCTTATCTCTTCCTGAGTCTCCCTGCTGCTCTCTGGCCTTGTACATTGACCACGTGAGCCGAGATCTTGAGACAATTTGAAAAGGGCTGGTCCAAAAGGGTGGAGCTCCCAACCCTCCCTGCTTACTGTCTCTCTTAGGAGAGATTAACAGACTTTTCTAAAACAATCCTCTTGTGAGGCAAGCCTCTCCATTAGAGCCAGTCACATTACTTTCCCAGGCCTTGGGGTTTTTAAAAAGCATCTGACACACAATGTTACTTTAGTTTCAGGTGGACAACATCACAGGCCCGGCTTTTGTCTCAACCTCTCCCCATCTGGCCCTCCTAGCTTTTTCCTCCAGGCTGCAGAAGGGGTGGAGAGGAGGGAGGGGCGCCTGGGCGGCTCAGTCCTTTAAGTGACTCTTGATCTCGGCCCAGTTCATGATCTCACAGTTCATGGGTTCGAGCCCTGCGCTCTCGGGCTCTGTGCTGACAGCTCAGAGCCTGGAGCCTGCTTCAGAGTCTGTGTCTCCCTCTCGCTGTGCCCCTCCCCTGCTCATGCTCGTGTGCACTCTCTCCCTCTCTTTCAAAAAGTGAATACACATTAAAAAAAGAGAAGGGGCTGAGAGGACAGCCAGGCCCCAGGCCCCAGCTGATGGTACCTGAGCCGCTCAAGCATCCCTGCCATTATCCTGGGCAGCCCTCCACAGGGTATTGCTTGGGTTGGTGACTGGCCATGGTGTGCTGTGCACATACAACAGGAAGATTAGAGGGCCAGGCACTTTACACAAATGACCTCATTTCATCTTCTCAGCCTCCCTACAAAACAGATATTATCATGCTTCCTCATTGTACAGGTAAGGAACTGAGGCAAGCAGGAGGGAGGAAACTGGGCTCTACTGCTACAGCGAGTCCAGGCTTTGGCTGCCACGTGATCTTGTATTTTGAGGATGTTGGAAGGCTCATGGCTCAAAATTATCTTTGAATTGTCCCTTCCCCAAAGTGTATACACAGGTGCGTACACACACACACACACACACACACACACACAGAGAACACATGCCTATGTCATTATAATTAATAAGTGAAATTGATAGCACATTAACCCAAAGGATCCATTGGAGTCTGTAACTTGGGTTACATAATGTGGAAGATATAAACCAAAACGGACTCCTAAAGGGATAGTAAGCCTATCTTTGGAGGAAGGTCTGGTGTGGAAGAAGTACTGAATCGGGAGTCCAAAATCCCAGATTAGGGTTCTTGCATGGCCACTTGGGACTGTGACTTGGGAAATCTTCTTTTTATCTCTCTGAGCCTCGTTCCTTCATCTGTAAAATGGGAACTATGATATGTGACTTACGTGTCTTCAGGAGTAGAATCGAATGAGATAACAGAGGGCTTATCCATACACCTGTCGAGACAGAAGACAGTAAATGCCCTTGTGCATTCAAGCTATTACAGTTTGGATGGTATGAATTTTATAGTCACTAACTCAAGTATACAAAATTGTAACTTTTCAAGTTTCCCGTAAAGTGGACTTAAATTCTATCTGGGGCTCCCATCTGTCTGATGCAGAAAACATAGTATGATCACTAATGGGCTGTCAGACACTTCGGTGGTTTTCTCAGTCATCCAGATTGAAATGCAAAGTAACTCACAATCCCCTGTGTTGCCTCCTCTCCTTCTCCTAGGCTTGAGCTCAGCTCAGGTGTTCCCCAAATGTTGTCTGAGCATCAGCAGGGAGAAGGAACTTCCTCTCAGGCTCCATCTGTCTACGTCTTTTGAGATGTGCCTACGTCCTCATCCTTTTCCTGGTTGGGAGGTCTACCCTCTGCTGAGATGTTCCCCTATCTGGCAGTGTACCTCTTCTCTGTCTCTCTCCCTCTCTCTCTCCTTCTCTGTCCCTCTCTTGACTCCTTTTGGTCTAAGCCTCTAAGTATGGGCTTATTTTTGGATACAGGAGTGCTGATGCATAGGGGCACATGGACCCCAATGTTTATAGCAGCATTTTCGACAATAGCCAAATTATAGAAACAGCCCAAATGCCCATCAACTGATGAATGGATAAAGAAGATGTGGTTTATATATACAATGGAATACTACTCGGCAATGAGAAAGAGTGAAATCTGGCCATTTGCAGCAACGTGGAAGGAACTGGAGGGTATTATGCTAAGTGGAATAAGTCAGGCAGAGAAAGACAGATACCATATGTTTTCACTCATATGTGAATCTTGAGAAACATAACAGAAGACCATGAGGGAGGGGAAGGGGGAAAAAGTTACAGAGAAGGAGGGAGGCAAACCAGCAACCGATAAGAGACTCTTAAGGACTGAGAACTAAAGGTTGAGGTGGGGTGGGGGAGAGGGGAAAGTGGGTGATGGGCACAGAGGAGGGCACTTGTTGGGATGGGCACTGGGTGTTATATGGAAACCAATTTGACAATAAATTATATTTTAAAAGATAGTGAAATAAAAAAAATAAAATATGGGCTTATTTCAAGATTCGGTACTTGGTCCTAAAGCATTTGTTTCTACATTATTTCCCTCAGACATTTTATCTACCTTCATGACTCCCCCAACCTTACATCAAAGGTGAAGATCCCCACATCAAAGCTCCGGCCCCAATTTGTCCCCCCGATCATCACAGAACCATTTTCCTGCAGGATTTTGTATCTCCAACTGCCTGGGAGACATCCCCCACCGCCCCCCACCCCCACCACCGGCTGCTTCTTAACCACCTAAATGCACTATGGCTAAGGCCAGATTTAGCATCTGTCCCCCAGAGAGCCAGCTCCCCTCTATGCTGTCTTATGGCTCCCAAGGGAAGTGCCATTACCTCCCCCGTGCAGATTCAAGGCTTGGAGCCTCTCTGCACTGTTCTTTCTTGCTCTCTCCTCACATCTGCTTGGGCCTCACAATGTTCACTTCTCACCACTTAAGGCCTCTGGAATCTGTTTTTCCTTTCCGCTCATACTGGCACCGCCGGCACTCAGGCGATTATTGCTTCATGCCTCAATTACTAAAATCGTATCCTGATTTGCTTCCAATTAAAATGCATCCTACCCGACAAGTCTCTTATCTACTTCTCTGTGACCTCCCAATCAATACTTGTTGAAACATAAGGGGTTCTTAATGGGTGGCACAGGGTTCACAGATGGGCTCCAGGGGAAACTGTAAACCCTCTGAAATAATAGGAAACATTACTTAAACCAGATGATTAGAAATTTGATTTAAGATGCAAATGTTTCTCAGGGAGGGAGCCAGAATGTCGACCTACACTCACACCTGAAATTCAGTGGCTCACGTCAGGAGCTCTCCTGAGACCAGATGTGAAGGGAGAGAATGAAGGCCTGTGGCCCAGAGATTCAGTCTTGGTTCATCATTTGTTTCTTGGACTCTAATCATCCAACCACCCATCCATCCATCCATCCGTCCATCCGTTTTCTATATGTGGAACACCTAGTATATACCAGAATTTTCAGTATAGTGTTTCACCTCGTGATGAGCCTCTTGAAGATTTTATTACCCATTTTACAAATGAGGGCATTCAGGTTTAGCGAGGGTAAATCCCTGGTCCAAGATCACACTGCTGGAAAAGAGGCCTAGGACCCAGACCTAGTCTAAATCCAGCACTCACATTCCCTCCCAAATCCTTTTTTTTTTTTTTTTTTTTTTTTTTTTTACCAAAACTTCCATGTGCCAGGGACTGACCCTGCCCTAAGAATCTAATAATGAATAGAACTAAGTGAAAGGTGTGTCAAAGCACCGGGCATTGGGCCCCATGCCAAGTATGAATTTGAAAGGGTTGGTTAAAAGAATGGTCATTGAAAAGCATTGCGCTGGGTGCTCAGCTCATAAGAGAGGGTCATCCCAAGTGACAAGGTGGCATCGAGCAAGAGGGTCCATCTGTTGGGGATGCAACCAACTGACCACACTGTGTGATCCATTGAACAGGGAGCAACTTGGAGCCAAAGGCTTGGCCTCCATCAGCTTTGCTCCCTTTGACAAATAGCTATGAAAGAAATCCAGTCCAATCCATAATTTGACAGATGAAACTGAAGCCAAGCAAAGAGAAGAAATGTAGAAAAGAAGCTGGGAACCCTGGGAAGGTCTGGGTAGTAGAATTACAGGTTACATCGCCTATCCTCTCTTCTTTATGTACTTAGCCATCTACACAAAGAGGTAGGATGACAATATCGAAAGGACAGTAGAGGCAGGATCCCTGTATAAGGGGTACAGAATGCTGCCCTCCATTCTTCTATCACCGAAGACCCACACTTTTGTTGCACAACATGTCCTTGACTGAATGTAGCTGTGACTTCTTGTTAGGGCAAGTTTATCTCACTGATAAACACGCCGGCGTTGCCAGAGGCCTACAATCTGACTACAAGGTGTGGTGAAAATCAGGTAGAAGATTATAGCCAGACTAGAAGAATAGGGGCCTTAAGCTGGTTTGAAGCATTTAGTGTAATTTCTTTGCTGCCAAGGAGGCTGAGGGGCTTCATTATTACTCACTTGATTGTTTTAGGGTCAACCTGGGTTTTTAATCAATCATGCTGTCATCCCTCTGTCCTCTCCTAACCAGGGGTCTGCGACTGCCACTAGCTAGCTCTTGGTGCCTCAGCAGGGAAATCTCTTCCTCAGACAGCAAAGTCTAGCACACCGTCTTATTCCTCTTCTATGTACGAATGGCCCCTCCCCCCCTCGGTGGACAATGCCCACTGTTATGTGATACATCAAGGAGCCACCTCACATGGTCCCTGCTCCGGCATTTTCATTGGTGACTTCTAGTTCACCTCAGAAGCCAGCACAGAACTCCACCTCTTCTCTCCTTTCTTTGTTTGCAACTCCAAGCCACCTAGTTTCCTCCACACATCACCCCTAGAAGAGGCATGAGGGAGTTCACAAAAAGCTCAGCGAGGAGGACACAGAAGCGATCGTGATCAACAAGTTGCAAGGTCCATGTCGTTTCTCAAGGATTTCTTCTGGGTTGATGTCACAGGCCAGTTTCCAAGCACAGAGAGCCAAATGTGTGACTTAGCCCTTATCAGTGGCAAAAGTAGGAAGACCTTTTATTCCAGCTTTGGCAGCTTATACTCCCCTCACCTCGACCCCTACACAGAAAGTGGGCTTTTCTTTTCTTTCTGGATTCTTTGTTTCTCCACCTCATTTATTTCTGCAGCCTGAGTAGAGAGCGTGATCATGCTGGTCTTGGTGTGAGGGCTTCACAGGTCAGGAGATGGTCCCCCCACACCGCACATTTCCATCTGCCTGTTCTGTGGGGCATGCGGCGGGCCCTTCTCTCCCAGCCCGGCTCTGGCACTACGTGCTTCTCTGGCCCAGCCAACGCATGGGCAGGAATTGTCCTTCCAGGCTAGGAAGACAGGAGCCGGTGAAATTAACATGAAGAAACAGATGCCTTCACTGTGGGGGTGTTTATAAATAAAGTTCAGAGGACAAATAGCTCGCCGCAGGCAAGGGAGATCATTTTTTAACGCAAGGGGCTATGGAGACATTGGAGTTTCCTCCGAAGCAAGCGTGGCCAGCATGGTCAGTGATGGCAATTAGAAAGTGTAAAGGACACTGGGCACAAAGACATCCTCGATAAGTAAGCAGAAGAAACTTATTTGGGACATTTCAAAGGTCTCTCCAGGTGAGGGGCACCTGGGTGGCTCAGTCGGCTAAGCGTCTGACTCTTGGTTTCAGCTCAGGTCATGATCTCACGGTTCGTGAGTTCGAGCCTCACGTACAGCTCTGTGCTGGCAGCACAGAGCCTGCTTGGGATTCTCTCTCTGTCTCTCTCTGCCCCTCCCCTTCTCATGCTCTGTCTCTCAAAAATAAATAAACTTAAAAAAAAAAAACAAACACGGGTGCCTGGGTAGCTTGGTCGGTTAAGTGTCCGACTTCGGTTCAGGTCATGATCTCACAGTTCATGGGTTCGAGCCCTGCATCAGGCACTGTGCACTGACTCCACAGAGCCTGCTTGGGATTTTCTTTTTCTTTCTCTGCCCTTCCTCGTTCACACCGTCTCTGTCTCTCGGAGAGAGAGAGAGAGAGAGAGAGAGAGAGAGAGAGAGAAAGAAAGAAAGAGAAAGAAAAAAGAAACAAAGGTCTCTCCATGTGTAAACACACACATACTCCTCTCAGTCACATGATGGCACATCAAATGTACACTGAGGGGGCTACAGGTGGCAGTCAGCATTGCTTCCAGAATCCTCAGGTGAAGACAAGCCTATGACCGGCAACTGGAGGGCAGAAAGTTCCACAGCCATCACATACAGATTCGATTTACAAAGTTCCGGAGAAGGTGAGAGGCATAGAAAGATTTCTGTAAGTCAGTGTTACCATAGAGTAGGGGTTTTAACCTGGGATCCAAGCAGGAATTTGAACTCAGAGGTCTATGAACTGAGAT